AAAAAGTCAAAACCAACAACTGTTTCGTGACAGATTCTCAGTTTTTCAAGATAATCCATTTCCTACAGTTAATTCTTAAAACGTGCATGGCTTGGCAAGTAGCTGAGGTTTCCAAATTCTCACCAAGCGAAGAAACATTTTAAATATTTAGTTTAACAAAACCCCAACTTGAATGTTAATGAACAGTACCTACTCGACCGCAGCCAGAAATATCTCGGGCAATATCCTCCACAAAATCCACTGCAAAAACTAGGTCTACATAGCTACTTATTAGATTTACCTACTTTCCAACTATGTTGTCATTCGCTAGTTTATACTGCAAGAAAGTCAGCAACATATGCTCCTAATATTGCGGCAGCATTACTCTATAATTATGAAAACATAACCTAGTTGCGGTTTACAACATCGATAAAACGCTGCTCTTAATATAAAAGCACGTCTCTTCACACGGTACAACTGTTCATGTCAAAAGGTTTATAACGGAACGGATCCTTCATAACCCCTACAGAGTTTAATGTTTACTCAGGAAGCAATGTCAAATATTGACTGTTTGCTTCACTGTAAACATTCTATGATGATACGTACAAAAGTTCATTCCAAAGGCCGTAAAAGTTATCCTCAATAAACCCCATCGACAATAACACACGGCTGAACAAACAAATTGTTGTTTTCCCTGCGAACCGTTTCTAATAGCACCCGGAAATTATTTTTCATACGTCTCCAATCTCCAGCGAACCGGCACAACCTTTCCACAGATTTAATTGTGCGCACATTGACTTCAATAGACTCAAGGCGAAATCAATATTGGATTTAAATGACAGATATTATTGTAATCACATCTAAACACTTATGTCACGTACGCGAAATGTCTACACAAATTAATAGATGGCCCGAACCGACCGCCAGTTAAGTGCGTTAATTTCAGCTCTTTCATACGTGCGGCCTTGTAATAGCTTCATAATTTTGTGCCATTACGAATGCTTTTCAGAATGACATTTCATTTTATTTTTTTAAATGACACCCATTCATGACGAATGCGCTTGTTAACGTGGATTTTATTTTAACGTTCATATTCTAAAAGATCTGACCTCTGGCATGAATGGCTCTCCAATTAAGGTACTATTAAAACTGCACTGATTTTGTGAAATGTATAAAAAAGATTTTATTTTAAAAAACCTCAACAGTCACAGTTTTAATGACCTGCCATAAAACAATGGATATCGCAAACAGTATACAGTACTGTCAAGGCTTCCTAAAGAACATTTTCAGATTACAGACATGCAAAGTGATTAACCCGAAAACAAAACTAATATACAAAACGACCGCTTCCGATACCCTGGGTAGAGACGACAATGTTTGCGAGTGGAGACAGATAATATGAGTTAATTTACGATGTAGCGATAACCTAGCAGCAACTACCGTACTGCGTGACAGATTGAGGCCTAGATATAACACCAAAGAGAAGTAACCTAATGGAGTGGCATATTTACGGCGACGACAAACGCCACGCAGAAATTTGCCATATGACCCGAAGGCGGCGGTCCAAAGACATCTACGATCCTTAACTCGTACTCCAAGTATTTAGAAAGTGAATTCAATCAAAGGCGAAATGTGCATATTCCGACTTCATTGATTAATCACCCCACAACGAACACAATCCGCTCAAACGGCCAGCTATTTGAAACACCAATTGTGGCACCACTTTAATATTGGCATTACTATTAATGGAATGTGTTCCGCGTAACTGCAGCCACTATTGTGTCTGATTAGATGACAGCTATAACAATTGCTAACTAAGCTAATAACTATACGTTTCGTAACCTATTACATGCTCGTATAACAGGCTAATGAAAGTCCTCTGGAGTTCATTTTTCTTTTCTCTAGGTTGTTCACAATATGCGCTGAGTTATTGGACACTTTTATTTTTCGACGATACAATAATAATAGCGTATCTTCGATCTCTTTTGTGTAAACACAATGCTGCCGAACCTGTTTAAATGATACTGTCACAACGAATCAAACATTCTAGAGCAGCTACTGGCGTATAAATAAACACCCACGCCGGATTATGATAAATATTATGAAGTACACAGCGTGTAACAATCAGGTCGGTAATACAGGATGGCCTTCAATCATAAAAGCCCCAGATCTAATCTGACGTTAATCCCTTATTAAGTAAAAATATATCTTACTTGAACCACCGGTTAATAGAGGCCTTCCATTTATGGGCGCTTGTTTACCCAAACCGTAATGTGTAGCGCATTAGTGGGAAACATTAGAGCACAATGAGCCTTAATCTTTGAACGGTAACAACTTGTCAAGTAAGGGAAGAGTGCGACCTCCCGCCGCACGACACTACCTGGGAGGTCCGACGGTGCTGTCGACGACAACCAAATTAATAGCTTACAAGTAATCAGAGATAGCAGAGCCACCTATCACCGCGTGAGAATATTCTTAATGACTTGGAAACGCATCATGTTTAAGATACCCCGTCTTATTATTTTCGATTCCTTTGTCGCCGTGCGCCATCCGTCGAAACATTGTAAGCATAAAATCAATTACGGAACGATGACTTCTCGACTTTGAATGCGACATATTTCTTTCGATGTCAGAAAGCGACGAGTCTAATGAATAAAATATTCGATGTTGTCGAGTATTTGAATAGATCGTTACGTGGCCCCTAACCTAATCCATGACCAACACATTATCCATCTTGCGTGTAAATTTAAATGACCCTTTGTGACTCCTGTCAAAACACTTCTTACAATAACATGACGCACCCTGCGCTCGCGCTCTAATCAAATTTAGAAAACATGTAAACATTATACATACACACCATACTTTATACATAAATCTTTTCAAACGTCCAACGATTTAAATTGAAAATGATTGTCCAATAATGAGATGTAATATTTAAAATTAAATCTAAAGAAAAATGGACTTCTCGCTCAGGTAAATAAATAATGGTTAGGTGTCTACTTAGTGTCTTTTACTACCCTTCAGTAAATTAAGTACGCCGTATAGATAATATTTTTGGGTCCAATAAAAATTCTGTTCGGGCGATAACGCCCGCCCAAGTGCGGTCGATATGGGGAGGGTATGAGAAATAAGATTATTTTCGTTGCAAATTGATCAAACGAAATTTATTTTACGCTCCCCTTCAGATAAGACAAACATTCTCAACGAAAATAAAGATACTTTTATGACTAAAGCGAGGAAAAACAAAAATATTAAATAAACTGGCAACACATAATTACACCGCGACGTAGAGTGGGGACAAGGCAGGAACAAATGGCTAATTTGACAAGATCCAGATAGCTTTTAAAAATATTGTACAGAATGACCACAATAAATTAAAATGAAATATATCTGCGTTGCGGAGCGAATCAGTGGGTGTCAACTCCAACGTTTATTACAATTATACTGTGTCTTGGATATTTCCATTTCCATAACAATAAAACGGGTAGCAATTGAATGTATAATGACGCGTGCCTAGTGCTGAGTGGACCACCGTGGCTAGTGCGGCTACTACCGGTAAATATATTAAGTGAGCACACCACGTGAAGGACAGTTAATTTACGGCTTGCTAACCGGCATAGCAATGAGGAGCCAACAGATTGGGACGCGACGACATTGACATAATCAACGTCTCGCAATGTGACAATTGTCTCATAAATGTCATTCGTAGTCAGGTATCGCCAACATTTCCATATAATTTGATGTAACAACTTAAACAATAGCAGAAGAATTTCAAATGTGTTAAAATTCCTGAGGGAATGGAGACTAAATCGTGTAGTGATCAGTCAGCGTTGTATTCCCGGCACGTGAACTATGCACGTTTCGCTCGTAGTCCAACACGTAGCGCCGCTCTCGAAGCATTACACGTCTTAAAAACGTCGTCCATTCAGCCAGCACCTGATCAACTTAGTTCAGGCTATTTCTCACAAGGATTTTTTAAATAAATAACAACATTCTAACTTCATTAGATTGAAAATTATACGTTTTTAGCAAAAACAATATCAATTTTTAAAGGCAGTAATCGAAACAATTAAATACATGAGATTTTATTACACAATACGTAGGTATCTATTGTTTCAAGTAAAATTGATATTTATCCAACAAAATGAAATAAAAGCATAGCTGGCAAAATACCGAATAAATAATACCTCTATCCAGTACCACAACAAAATTAGAATATAAAAAGAATATCTCGACTAACAGTTTTATTAACTAGGTACCATCTTGTTTCGTTCTATGAGTCTTGGTAGATTTCACAAATAAAGTCGTTTCCATGATAATGCTCCATCGAGGCGGACCCGACAAATAGATTGTATCCATTATCCCATACCATTTATTTCTATGACTATCTCCGAGCACCTAGTACGTTCGCCACAAACATTGTCTGCGTTGGATATTCAGCTACTTACATACAACTTGGGTCCACATATAAACGTTTACGAGCCCTGTAAACTGTGAGCGGTAATCAAATCGAAATTCGTTTTCAATCAGCGATGCTAACCACGTGCGACCACTCGTATAATCCCCAAGGGCGGCAGACAATAGTCGGGAGAGGTGATTTGCATGGTCCTCTGTATCAAGTATCTATTATTTATGTACATTCGGCACATTTGCATGCCCAAAACAGGAAAGGCCAGCGATGGGCCCAAGGACACGTCGTCGCCGGCGCCGCTGATGTAATCGAATGTCCCTGTTGTTTCGCGCCGACACAATAATAATTCATATTCAAATTTCGAGCCCGAAATAATTACCACGACATGAATTTATCGCGCCACAATATGACTTCAACTCTTTGTCGCCATTGGGAGCCCAACACAGAATTCTAATGAGACACGTGTTGCAGTTTACACAGCTTGGAGTCACTGAGCTATTCAACCAACAAAAAATATGTTCGTGAGCCAACAAAAACCAAATGGAATGCTTTCAATATTAAGAGCTTTGCCATGACTGAGATGAAACAGTTTTTTATATAAGGTACTTACTTCCAACCGGTAGAGTATCTCGAAAACAGCCATATTTCGTTGCTGTGCGGTCGAAAACAATGACATCGTTTTCGCGCTCGTTGACAGTTGCATGGCCTCTGTGAAAGAAAAATGGCTAGTTTGAGTATATGTATAGAAAAACGATGTTATATACAATTATTCGAAGATCGCAAAAGGAAACATGATACTCAGGTCAGCGTAATATGTAATACCTGGGTATCTATTAAAATGAAATAATGAAATAGAAGGATAAATCATACATGGAAATATTCCAAGCTCGAGGTAGATCATTAAATTATTGCTTAAGTACATTTAATACAAAAGTTAAATCGTTCCCTCGCGTACAATTTAAACGAGAGGGATTTTCATTTCCTCCATTGGGCGTGAGTTCTTTGAAGAGGGATCGTTGTGTGCGGAAATTACCAGTGAAATCGGTATCGTTGCCGTGCCAGCGCGTGCCGAGCGGACGCACGGAGCGGACACTCGCTCCAGTCCCCGACACCCGAGACGAGACTTCACGAAAATCAGAAAATCCGATGAACAGCACACCCAGAGACTCATAACTCAATCTGAACATTTTTATCAGATTCCTATATATATTACCTACACATTTTGCGCAATTTGTTGAGGAAGTTTACCCAGAGTAAACCAAAGCTGTTTATCGTTATTAGGAATATTTGTTACTACGAGGGTAACAGAAACAGATAATAAATGTCGGAATTGTTATCGGGGTGTGGCGTTTGGGGAGAGAAGAAAATAAGTAAGATTCAAATTAAAAAAATACGAATCAATGACTAGATCGACTGTGTGACGAATATTAGGTATAAAAAAAAAAAGTATGGTTATCGGAAGATAGATAGATAGATAGATTCTAGATTCTAGAAAAAAAAACATGACACGAGCATAAGATTAAAATCATCTTAGGGAAATCCCAACCAATCATTATGTAACAATTCTCTATTACAATTGAGAGTGGGTGGACAAGGCCGATGACAACAACCATCCCACATAAAATGTAGGACCTTTTATAGAGTAAATCTGTTAGACGGCAAAATATTAAATCCGCACGTTCTGGACACTGCACAAGTAATGAAGCTGAATAGTGAGTTCGTAGAGTAAATTAGAAGGACGGAAGCGAGCGGGCCGGATGTCCGTAGAGCAAGTGGCGCGAGATACACTCAAATACCAAATTACACAAATGTACAAGAGTAAATATACGACGCTACACAGCCAGCGGGTACTGGTGGACGGTATTTACTAACATGCATACTGGAACTACAGGAATGCTTGCTCTTACTACAATCATTGTACGCGCTACTAAAACATGGTTACTTTGGTTACAAGGAAAGCTAGACTGCAATTACTTTCAGGAACTGACACACCTGGTAAACTAATGATAAATTGAGACCAACATTCTGCTCGAAATGTTCACATTACATAGTACCAAAGACGAGGATGCGAAGCCTTGATATATCTCAATTCAGGACAACAGAGACTCTAAAGTTAATTTGTTTCTCAATCAAGGCCCTGGAGGATATAAAAGACGTAATAAAACGTTGCAAGAAAATATTATTATGTTAAGGGAACGAGGAAACGAGAACCGACTTTCTATTGGTTACAAGAAAATACGTATTTTAAAGAATCAGCTAGAATAACCAATAAACGAGTAGGTAGCTATAGCATTTTTAATCTGCATTGAAATTTCGAGAACCCGACAAAAATTTGGAACAAAGGGGATTGATTGAATGTCTCGGTTTCGATCCAAAAGAACACAAAAATATCTGAAGCGGTATGAATGGGGAATGGCAACATTGTCTACGAATACGTAGTGACTGTACGACTGTTGGTATACGATCGTTCGTTTCAACGGGTGGATTAATCATTTTTATTTGTTTTCATGCTCTGAACACCGAACGTAACTTTGGATAGATATTGCTGAATTCGCTCAGATTTAATCAACGTTGATATTGTCTTCGTGTTCCTTACATAAACTTTCTATAGCTCCAAATTCCGAGACATTTCAGTAGGTAGGTACTTAATCCTGTTTGGTATCTCTGATACTCATTAAGTTTTACTACCTCTAGTTCCGTTGTTTTCTCTGATAATTTGACGGATCATATTCACTGTTATTAATTATCATTTTCATAAAACTTCTGTAGAAATCCGTTGATGAAAGCACGTAAAACAATAGATTTATGCTGTTTACATACAATTTTTGTATGGCTAACTCCTGTGTTCAAAATTATTCAAAGCGGAACAAATGCTATAGAATTAACAATGGCCCGAGAGCATGTAGTGGTACATTGTAATGCGTAGAAACAAAGCAGTTAGGTTACTAGAAACACATAATACGTATGCTGCGCACATACATATAGTTAAAGTTGAGCTCGTAAGCACCAGAATACATTCATCCTTTGTTGGGACCCTGTCACGAAACTATAAAAGAAGCAATGAGGAACCAATCATTGAAACGTTTTTTTACATTATTCCATGCATATTAATGAGAAATCATACAAAGAAACGTGAGGCAATTGAAAATTGAACATTTTGCATGGCTAGACATCCCAATTTAGAAACTTATTAATATTTCAATCGGGAATTTTATTACAATACTATTATTCATGTATTGTACCTACATAGTACAAAATATTGGAAAAGTTTGAGTGCCACATCCAATAAAACGTTTTGCGTTTCAACGTTGTTCCAAACCACATCCCAATACAGTAGGCAGAGGAGGGCCGAAACAGGCGGAGCGTTAAAATATTTACACTGCGGTTGAAAACACGCGCCCTCGTCTGAACCGCCTCGCTCCCAGCGAACATATGAACAAACTACATATCTACACGTTCACAACCACACAATGACTTTGAAAAACGTAGAAAACGAACATTCACAAACATACCCTTCCCAACATATGGACGAGCTAAAAGGATTTGCCTACACAGAAACGATACGATCTCCACTTGTTATACTACAAATAATAAGTCAATGTAACCCGAAACACGACGAAAATATACTGCACATTTTCTAGATAATCTTCGAGTATATATTTCTAGACCGAAAAGACGTATAAATAGTGTTTACGCGTCGGTCACATAAATACATTAGCAATCCGAAGATAAAAACACGATGTTCGTCGGCAAATGCAGACGGAATTTAATATTGGAAGCACAATGGATGTGCCTCTACAAAATTAATACATCTTATACATTGAATATCATTCATTGGCGGTACTGCAGACCTCTTCAATTGTTCGGTTGAGAAGAGCGGAAAGCAAATGAAAGGCGGTCCATTGAAAGTGTTCAAAGTTTGCGTACGTGCCCAAGCAGATACGAATAGAGCATCTTTTTCATTTTATCTTTGACCCTTGCCCTGATCCGTTATAATATCGCCTGTTTTTATTCAATTAACTAAATAATGATTCGATTCAGTTTCGGTGGTCGATTCCCGGAAACTTTATTATGTTATCGGTGTGTAGTGGCAGAACACGTAAATTAAGATAAGTGTCAGATAAATAAAATAATTCAGATTGAAGTTTTTATAAGAGCTTTGAAGTGACCCGATAGAATGGTTGTGTAACAGGACACAAAAAACGGATCTCCCTGATTTAAAATAACGCGTAGAACGTAGATATCTTCAACTATAAATAAATCCTGTTTCTGATTCTTAACACACGCCAACGCGAATTGCTCGGTTTCCGTCATGAATAGAAATCTATCTCACATGAGCAGATATGATACACTTCATAGACGAAGGCTATCGTGGAAGTAGCTACTTGTGTCAATTTACATTCAAATCGGCTTTATTAAGGGGGAATATCAATGAGATACGACGCGGAGGATCTCGATATTGCTTTTTAATATGGGTAGCCTACGGAGGATCTAAAAAATTCCAGCGTACACAATTTACAAAATAAAAATATAAATCCAATTCGAGGCGTACAACTTAATCTGCAAAGTGGAATTAAATAAAAAGGAGGACGGTGTACTACGCTACGAAAGTTCTGGTTGTAAATGGTGCTCAGATTTCATCGAGAAAAGCTTAATTTTCATCACGTCAGACGCTGTGCCATCAATTTTCGTAACTAACATTAAGCGTCAGCGGAAAAAATATAAAATCTAATTACTCTTTTCGGATTATAGTGCGCGCACTCTGCCCAGCGTCGATACTGAAAATTCATTTTTAATTAAGACTGAAAGCTCATCCACAAAGAGCTTTAAATGTTTGAAGAAGCAGCCGCAACGCTTCTAATTACACCACCATTATCATTTACGTCTATGTGCCGACGTTTGACACAACGCTTTTATGGACTCAAGGATTTCGGCTGTCTTGGTAGCAACATGTAATTCAATTTGTAACATTTGTAAGTAGGCGCCGCTGGTACAAAGTGTCGGGAAGTCAGGTCGGGAAAGTGACGGTGCATTTTCTTTTAACGTGTTCGCCATTTCCAGCAATTCTGCCGTGTCACCGTACCTCGTGCGCGCTTTAATAGCCCACTCCAAATGTAACACCGCCGTTTCATATGTCTGTCACGTACTTCAGAGATTTTTCATTCTAATTTTCTTGTTCAAAATTTCCAGAAGTTGACTACCTATCTGCGAGTTAAGATTGACTGCACATTTGAACCGTACTCCTAGGATATTACACGTTTTACTGTGTTTATTATGAACCTACGAAGTTGCAGTCATAGAACATAACCATACATATGTAACCTAGCCAAAACCTGTCGTCTGACTGTCACATTGCAATCGCCATTTCAACTTGACTGCGTAGGTGAACCGACTTAAATGTTTTCCATTGCAATTAAGTACCTACATCTAACTAAACCGAACCTTAAATCGCCCACGATCATTCCAGCTCACCCACAAAGTTGCATGTCTACTGTCTAGACACCTACAAACTAAACGGGAGAGACAGGTGGACGGATGCAGTTTGATATTTTAGTTATTGACAAAATTATACGAACCTTTAAATCTAAATCCATGACTAGGTGTTTCCCGAAAGAGGTTCCGCCAGTTTTCTGTATGTGCAAGAAGACCATGACGTCGTGGGCGTTCAGGTCGAATCGGAAGTCGTCGTGGAGGACTTCGTCATAGGAGAGACCCGGCTGAGCGATGACGTCAGGAAGCGGCCTGCCAGGAGCTTCAGCGTACGAGAGAGCCAACGACTCGGACACCCGATCCCGCGGTGACAGTGCGCACACCTGATGACAAAACACATACAAACTTAATAAGTATTATCGATATAACATTGAAGTCTTTCACATTTTAAACTTACTAGAATGTTCATGATTTAATAAAACGCTAAATCCTTACAACTTATTCCCATTAGTAGGCGTGTATAACGCATGTTACGCTTGTCAGCGTTTCGCAATACCGTGAAACGAAAATGTTTGTTGTTGATATTATTCCGCTGGAACTTATTTTCACACTATGCTCAGGTGAGAATGAATGTGCATCCATCACCACAAAGCTCTATTCAGTAGAGCGCAGAAATATGAATACCTAAGACACATTATTTGCATTCGTCTTTGATATTTTGCTACTGCAAAAATTTTGGAAAACAAGAAATACGAGATGAATGCGTCCGCTATTCTAGCATTCTACAAATTCCTTTGGCGATCATAATGTCACTAAATTAACATTTCGAATAAATTAATTTAACAAAATTGATGCTGATTCGATTGTAACGTTATTCTTTGAATACATTCTTGTGACTGTTATAGATCACTATTCAAAATCGGTATATAACATAATAATTTACGAGTCTAGGTATAAAATTTACATCCAAATACGGATCGTAAACTCATAAAGACCAAATTAGCATAGCATAATGAAAAATGTGTAAAACTTGTTTTATTCGATGAATATTGCTTTGTGGTTCATATTTGTCACAAAGGTTGATGAGAGGGGCTTTTGGGCCCTCGAAAGTTCATTTATTCTGACCCCTACAAACGCGTATCAGAATCAAGGAGATATTGGGGACGGGATGGGTTCATGTAACATCGCTGAAGCCTAAACACACATTGCGGGATATATGAGAAATATTACTCAAATATTGTGTATATTTTCATAAATATTGGGTCAATAAGCTTCTTTTTTAACTCTATATTTTCAGTCGTGTATTTTTGGCCGTAAAGAAAATTTCGGTTTATATACACGTAAAAATTATAAAGAGACTTTTTTATTATTTTTGTGTGTACAAATAAGAAAATAAGTATTTACTGTAGAATAAGGCAATATTTCAATAGTTAACACGGATCAGTTCTCATTTTATTGGACAAGAACCTATGCCATGCAAAAATAATCCAGAGAAAATGGCAAATTATAACTGAAGTTTCAAACGACAAGAGGAGACAAAAGATTTATGAAGAGAACTCATGGCATACTAATTTAAAAAAAAAACTGATTTTAATCTATTGCTTTTAATCGAAATAGAAAAAAGCATATACAAATTATTATTCTCACCACCATTCCACATTTCCCATATTTCCCAGAAGGTAAACACATTTTAGAATCAAATGTACAAACTTTTTTCATGAGGAAAAGTTAGTCGTTAATTAAATATATGTAATAACTGTTGCCAACTGATTTTAATAATATGAATCAGGGACACGTGTACGCAAAAATTGACTTGAATTTCTTTACAAAGAGTGCAAGTGATAGCCGGCTTTGTAAGCGCCCTTTAAAAAAGAAAGGTAATGAGTTGGTTCACTTCAAATTAACCTCACTTTTGTGGCGAGAGAAATCTGAATATCAAAGGAGGTCATCCATTAAACGCGAAGAAAAAGCAGTGTAAATTACCTTCCTGAAGTGTCATTGTGGAAACTGGTGAATGAGCGCGATATTAGGTCTGCCTGGTGACACAGGACTTACTTATTCAAATATTCAGTTAATTCTGTCTTTCCCTAATAATAATAAAAAAGCAAGTTTTTAATCTAAGATGCAGTTAAAGTTGTACTAATTACTTTGTTTTGGATAGCCGATAAATTACAATTCTTATCCCTATACGGGAAAAACCGATTTAGTCAACAGAACAGAGCATAAAACCCCGTTATCAAATTGCAATTATTGCTCTATGAATAATGTCATTAGAATTATCCAACTGTTGACTTGACTAGTTCTGTTATTAAACTAGTCACAAAAATAAGGAAAATATAGGAGACAATTAACTACAATCAAACTAAAAAATTTGCCAAAACGTTTAAAAACAAAACATGATCTACATACCAAACCAACTTACAAGCATTATAAATAAGTATTTCTGCAAGTGAAAAAAATCTAACAGTTCTCCATACCGTTTTACTTCAAACTTCTCTACAATACCTTTACTTGGCAACAACAGCCATTTGTATTCAATATTTTCTATTCCACTTCGTATTGTTCTCACAAAACGGGTTTATTATAAGAAACAATTTATAAAATAAGTCCAACGTACCAAAGTATACACGTATAACAAATAGTATACTGTCTCGTATTTTGAAAACCATCGAAATACTGGTTCTACGCCGATTTAGACACTAACTATAACACGGTGTTACATGTTTCGGAGCTTTTCAATAAAAATGGTAATTTTGCTCCCATTACATTTTTATCAAACCACTAACTATAGGTTTTCTGTTAAATCACTTAACACGGTAAGTACTAACGCACCTAATTATTCAAGTTCGACCCAAATATATTTTCCAAATGCTCTTCAAACCAAGCTCAAGGGTATACATTAAAACAAAGTCTCCCCATTGCTTCACGTAAGTACGGTTTGAAAGAACCCCTTAACCTCTTTAAAGAAACCCAATTTCTCGAATTTATTTCTCATTTCTCTGCATATTTTCATGGTTTCCGTTACAGTAAAATCTAATCTAGAGAGAAAAATGTTTTAATATCTTTTAGAGTCGCGTTAAAGGTCGGTGGGGGTTAGGAGGGTGAAGGGATAAGGGTGTCTATGCTCTCCCCGCTTGTTTGTTCGCCTAATGAAGTGGGTAGAGCGCTCTGGCCCATTAATATACAGTTACAATCAGCACTGCCACCACCCCAACGATTCTACTCCACTTATTACGATTACTGAGATGTCGCCGAGACAGTAAACAACAAACATTAAATATAGGTTTACAGTTAAGAATCCAAAACGTACTAAACGTTTTTCAATTAAATAAAATTAGTCAGGTTGAAGGTAAAGACATCATATCGCGGCGTAGTATTGATTACTACAATTCACTATAACCCTCGCATCGATCAAAGGTTTTCGCCGCGGATTACTCATCATTGATGCATTAGCAGCAGTTTATAATAGGTGGGGTATAACTTTACGTAACACGACCCGGCGCCAAGCGCACGGGACGCTTTCTGGCGCCTTATTATAATGCAGGAATTGAGTTATTAAATAATGTTACCAAGTTTATCGTCAAGTGCAGCCCCTCGGCGCTTCGCAGCACTTGTTTACCTTCATTGTTTTGTTATCTTTTCTTAGTTGTCACACAGCGGTGTCGCCTGCATCGCAAGAACTTTACACGGCCAACTTCCTCCGTAAAGTAATAAAAGTCCCATGAACGCATACTGTATTGTGTAGTTATGTAAACGCTCCACGTTCCAATGGCGTAATTGTGCTTATTAAAACTAGACCTGTGCCTAATCAAATCTCGAATTACATTAGTGTTGACGTTGCCATATTAACAAAAACCACAACGTGCCCCGAATGTTCACCTCAACTTCTCAATCCAGTTCAGCTTTGCTCTACATGGCCGAGAGCCGAGAGGTACAGCAATGCTTATCTTAATTTCAGTTATTTCTTGTTCCGAGTTGCATTTCTCTGAAAGTAAGACCTAGTTTCGATATAGGTCAAGTACATTACGGTATATCAACATGTTGTAACAAGGCTTCAGTTATAATAACCAACAAAATTAATGCGGCGATCGCGTGTGAACGCAATTTAGTGCAGAAAAAAATGTTTAAGTTCTAAATTATCGAATTAAGCATTATGTAACGGCTAAGCTTCCAAATGCTTATTGCTTAAATGGAAAAATGGACGGCATTATTAATTTGTAGTACGAACTGTATATGTAGAGGTACAAAGCACCTCACAAACATGTTACGCCATCTTAAATAGTAAGTCCTTCTGAGATAAACCTCATTTACTGCCCGTTTTGGCGCCATCTAATTAGAGTTAATAGAGCTAATGTGCAGTGCTAAACACTTACAGCATAACTACAAATCCGAACTATGAGGTACTTACAACTAATTAACATTGGTTTGATGAGTACGCGCACTAGAATAGGAGCAAACTAAATTGTGTCATCCTCTTGAAGATGTCATTAATTAATGAAGTAGGTAACTGTTGTTGTAACGTTTAATACTGTGTTGAATTTATCGTTATTGGCACTCAGGCAGGACTCGAAAAAGTCCTTGAAAATCCTGTGCGCTTAGCTCTCATTTTTATACACAGTCTTTGAAAGGTCGGTAAAAAATTTACATAAACAAAGTCTTTATATCTGAATAGGTACGTAAGTAACGTAGGTGTATCTGTCCAGGTGTTATCCTGTCCATTATCAATTCACGGCGCGGTTCGTGGCGAGTGCAGACAACTGGGGCCATATGAGGCCGCGGAGTCAGTACGAAACGCAGCTCGCGTGCGAAGAGATGCAATTTTATCCTTTGTTTCGACTTTTGCAATTCGAATTTTAAACGCATGACCATAGAGGGAACTGGAAAGAGGTATTTCAAGGTCCAAAGGCTACTGTCCCATGCTTGGCAGTGCAAGTACGTTGCAACATTGCAGGACATCTCTCTAGAGGTCCATAATTAAATGGATGAGCAGTCGATAAAGATTGCAAACCGTGTACCTGCAGATAGATAGGAGAATCGTCTGGTTCGGTTAAACAACTTGCAAATGAACACAAATGTGCAGAAGTTTAAATTACCTAAGTATCAAATTATTTATTTAAGTTAGCACTAAGCTGTTCTTTGGTGCGTTTTATCAAAAAAATAAAAGAAATAAATGAATCCGATCAAATTACAGCAGTTTTTATTTCATTCCTTATTAAGTAGTTAAGTAATAGACAAAACGACTAGAATTTTAAAATATGCATTATAAGCGAGGTCAAGCACCGACCGACGCGTCCGTGACTTCTCCATACTGACTATACCTAGCTACAAAACGACATTGCAATACGTTTGCAGTTATTTAAATTACAAACTGTTTTCCGACTGC